AAATTATGGAACGCTAGGCAGCAGTCAGAAGCAACAGATAGCTTCTAAACACATAGCATTCAGACAGAAGAGTAAGGAACTGAAATGAGACTGACAGCAGAATACCAGTCCTATATACTAAAGCCACAAATGCTTCAACATGATTAGATATTCCACAGATTCATTCATATTTAAGTAGGATGGGAATGGAGGTCAACGATAAAGGAGGAAAAAAATTAACCAAAACAAGAGGGTGGCCTTGTATCCACTGATGATTTTTGTGCACTGTGAAATAAGGAATCCAATCAACTCCCTGGGTCCAAACGCCAGAAAAGAAATGTGCAAAGGACGTGAATAGGCAATTCACAGAGGAGGCACAAATGGCCCAGAAAGATAGGAAAATATACTAATCTCAGAAATAATGAAGGGAATGCCAGTTATAACAACAAGGGCATTTTTTTCACCTGTTAGGTTAACAAAGATTTTTAAAAATTATAATACGCTTTGCTGGTGAGGGTGTAAACACTGTTGATTGAAATCTATATTGACTGAGCCTTGCGGGGGAGTGACTGGGCATTATCAAAATGCAAAAGGCTTAGAGCCAGCAAGTTTGCTTATAGGAACTTATCTTGCAGAAATACCTGACATGCAAAGGCGCATTTCCAAGGATGTCACTGCTGCAGTGTCCCAGGGAAGCTAGCAGAAGCTGTGTGCACATTGGACAGGAGGAGACGGGTTTGTAGGTCATGTCAGTCGTACTGTGACACCCGGTGAAGATGGTGAAGGCTGACATGGCTCTGCATGTACCGACAGGGAAAGATAAGCATAACATATTATTAATTTAAAAAATCTCATTTTTATTGAGAAATTACACACAAAATCACAAGATAGTAAATGGGGAGGGTATAACTCAGTGTTAGAGGGTGTACTTAGCATGCATGAGGTCCTGGGTTCAATCCCCAATACCTCCATTAAAAAAGAAAGAAAGAAAGAAACCTAGTTACCTGCCGTGGACCAAAAAAATAAATCATAAGATACTAAAATTGTCCACTGTTTCAGGTCTCAGTTTTTGCATTGAAGGCCAAGTATAAATCATTAGTTCAAGGGCTCCCATGTTCCTAAGAAGGTGCCAGACCCCCTTGCAGGCAGAACAGGAGGGAGACTGAGACAGGGTGCTGTCAACCCCAGCACCCGCCACCAGGAGGGCGTGAAAGTGCGTGGGTAGAGGGACAAGGGAGAGGAGCGTGTGACAGTGGGCTGGGCTTTCCTGTCTGCTCAGACTTTGAGAGGGGCTCAGAGTAGAACTTTGTTCCTGGAAATTTGGAAGGACCCAAGGGCTAGAGTCAGACTGCGCCCAGGGAAATGGAAAGGTGACAGGCCTGGACAGCCGTTGCCCTCCGGGTGACAGAGCCAGGTGAGGGGGCAGCATTGGGAGTAGGCTGCACGGGATCAAGGGTGAGGCAAGCCCCCAACTTCAAGGGTCAGAAGGCCTGAGGGCGGGGGGCCAGTCCAGGGACAGCTTGACAGGAAGTTTTTCCAAGCAAGCCCCTGGGGGCAGGGAGAGGAATAGTGCAGAGAAAGGTGTTCTGGGTGCAGGGCAGCGCCCAGTGCCAGGAGCTGCAGCTGAAGTTGGAAGCCATCAGATCCACCCCAGGAGAGGCTTTTCCCATCGCTGTCAAGGGAGCTTGGATTGAAAGTTCCCGGAGGGGTCTCTGAGGCACCCATAAAGTGCCCCAGTGACAAAGTCTCAGCGTGGGTCCTGCCAGGCCCCAGGTCCCTTCCTGTCCCTCTGCCCCTCCCCCCTTTCTGAGCCCCTCTCAGCGGAGATTTATTTTATACCCATGCATGTGTTTCTATTTTTCAAAAGATGCTAGTGGACATGCTCATCAATCATTGAAAGACTTTTGAGTTCACATCGCTTTACTAACATGCTATTACCAAGCTGGGCAGGGCTGCGGGGAAGGTGAAGAGCTCGGTTTTGGACATGTTACATTTGAGATTCCTATGAGAGAGACATCCAGGTGGAGCTGTGGAGCAGATCACTGGAGTTTGGGAGAGAGGAATCAAGTTCCAAGTTTGAGAGAGATATCTGGGCTCCTGGTAAATTTGAGACTCATCTGTGAATAGACAGTATTTAAAACATAGGCATGGATGAGACCACCAAGAGAGTGTGGACAAAGAGTACTGCGTGCTGAGTCTTCTCCTGGAAGGGGAGGAGGAGCCAGCAAAGATGGGGAAGGAGGGCCAGAGCAGGAGGATCCACTACACCCCGAGGTAGCAACGGGGCAGCTATTGGGCATCTGGGCGGGAGCAAGTTTAGGGGGTGGTGGGGTAACTGGCCGACAGAGCGGGTTAAAGGGAGAACAGGGTGGGGAAATTGACATTGGCAAATAAAGCCAGCTCTTTCAGGAGGTTTTGCAGCAAAGGGCAACAGAGAAATGGGGCGGTATTGGGGAAGGAGAAGTGGCGTCAGGAGAGAAATAAAGGCACATTTGTGCTGTTGGAAATGATTCTAAAGAGAGTGAAAATTTGCTGAGGAGAGAGGGAGTTGATTGCTGGAGCCATGGCCTTGAGCAGGCTATAAACAAACGAATATTGGTGAAGTGTTGATAAGTGGAATAGAGCAGGGGCATGCTGCTGCTTAGATAGCCTTGTCAGGTGACATTTTAGCAAAAACCTGAAGGAAGTGAGAGAGTGAGCCCTTTGGATTCTGGGGGGAGAGCATTTCAGGAAGCAGAAACAGCAAGTGCAAGGGCCCTGCGGTGGGACTGACTGGGAATGAAGGCGCAATGTGGCTGTATCAGAGTGAATGACGGGGGCAGTGGTGGGACCTGTGGGTAGATGGGGCAGATGGATCACGCAGGACCTAGTAGGCCAGGGTAAGGATTTCAGCTTTTACTCTTCAAGAGATGGATTCTGCTAGATGGTTTTCAAGAGGCCTGACAGGCTCTGGTTGTAAGAGGATCACTCTGGCTGCTGAGTAGAGAATAGAATCGGGGCAGGAGCAGAAGATGGGTGCAGGGGCTCTGCAGAGACCCAGATGAGAGGCGATAGTGGTTTGGGGTAGCCTGTTAATGGTGGGGGAGGGGAGAGGTGGCTGGGTTCTGCACAAAAGCGGCACCAGCAGGGTTTGCAAGTGCACGGGGTGTGGAGTATGAGAGAGATGGGAGTTCAGCATTTTGGCCTGAGCAGCGGTAAGGATGGATATGGCCTTGACTTTGACAGGACAGACAGCGAGCCTGATTTTCTACATGTCAGATTAATTGAGATGCTTACTCATCATCCATGTGAAAATGTCGATGAGCCATTGGCTGTGAGTCTGGACTTAGTGAGAGAGGTCAGGGTTGAGATATGTAAACTTGGGCAGAGCTGGAAGGTGACAGATGGCCTTTAAGTCTGCCCAACTGGATGAGCTCACTGGAAGAGTGAGTGTGACTGGAGAAGAGAAGGTCTGTACGCACCTCATGAGAATATTGACCTGAGAACCCAGAATTGCCCTCTGCCAAGAAAGGAAGCAGCCCAGAGTCTGTCCAGGAAATCAGCTGGGTTGGGGTCTGGAGGGGACTTGCTGTCTGAAACTGGCACAGCCTACACACGTGCCCTCCACCTGGGGCCCCCTGGGTGACATTCAGCAGAGGAGGTGGATGGGTGGGGATGGCAGCCGACCAGAAAGAATGGAGTTGACCTATTTCCAGTGGCAAAAGATCTTCACCTGGAGTATTTAGGCTGTTACACTGACTGCTCACGGCGGAGATGCTAGTGGGGTGGAGTCTGTGAGCAGAGGAGGGTCCACAGAAACAGAGTGCTGAGAAAAACGTGCCCCTAGGGGATCTCCTGGGATTTACTTCCAAGACTGGTCTCATTGGGGCCTCACTGTTGGCTAATTAATAACAACTCATACAGCCGTTGTGGAAATGTGCCGGGTATGTGTGTGTAAAGTAACTGATCTAATCCTTACCCTAGGAGGTAGACACTATTATAACCCTCCCCACATTGCCCATGAAGAAACAGAGGCACCAAGAAGGTACGTGACAAGTGGGGGAGCTGGGATTTGAACCCCAGAGCTTCCTCTGGGCTCTTAACCTTCGTGCTCTGCTGCCTCCCAATGATGGTCTGTTATCATTAGCAGTTTTAACAAACATTTACCAAGTTGTGTTACCTTTGTGATTTCATTTAATCCTTGCGACAAACCTCTGGGATGAGACTGTGATTCCAGTTTTGGGAAGTGACTTGCCCAATATCAAAGAGCTGGTGACAGGCCACGCCAGGCTACTCCCTCTCCAGGGCCTCCACTTGGCACCACGTCCCTGTATGCTGGTCGGAGTGGTCAGCTCCAGGCATCCCATGCGGATTTATGAGGTCAAGGCTTTTTGGCAATGCTTAGAGATTTGAGATAAGATTTGAATACTCTGACTTCCTCCAGAACCTCCTCCAGGCTTTGGTTTGCCTGCTGTCTTGCTCCTGGGCATAGTGTTCAACTTCTTGGCCCTTCCTGCTGTGTCTAGGTCTGGGAGTGTAAGTGGTTTGAACAAGATCTTGTGAGAGTTCAATTTGACTCCTCCTTGGCCACAGAAGAGACTGATGGGTGTCCAGGAGGCAGGTGGAGGGAGAGGGAAGCCTCAGGCACCACCTGGCAATCTTCATAGAATGTGAAGACCCTTTGAGATGGAGAGTCCTGAGATCCCTTTGGCAGATGGAGAAACACAGGCCGAGTGAGGGCAGAGGGCAGAGGTCAGCAGGAGTCCCGTGAGTCAGGATCAGAGGCAGGACTCGGCCCTGGGTCTCTGCACTCCCAGGCCTGGACTGTTCCTCCGCATCCTGCCCCCCCCCCACCTCGAAGGAAGTTGGCCTCAGCTAATCTTCCTGGCCTGCTTTTTGCTGGAGCCCTTGAGACTGGCTGAGGACTGGTTGCCATAGAGATGGTGGGGTGGGCAGTTCCAAGGCTGGCAGATGGGGGTGGAGTATGGGGCAGGACACCAATATGCTGAAC